GCTGGCATTGTTTGCATACATTCGCTGCAGAATAGCTATCAGTGTAGGTATCATTGCGTAAACTGAGCGTGTCCACGTAAATAGTTCTCGTGCGTAGCAATTGAGACCGATTTAGACAAGAAAGAATAGTTCCGCACTTAGCTTTCCATAGTCTTCCGCGCTTAGCTTTCTGCTGCGTTTATTTTTAAAATAATATAGCTTTCATTAGTTTAAAAAACAGTAAAGGGTTAAGAGGCCATTTGATAAAAATCGCCTGAGGATACGGTAAGTTTGAAAAAAAGGTAGTTTATATATATATATATAGAGAGAGAGATAGATAGATAGATAGATAATATTCGTGGTAAATATATACATACATATGCAAAATATATAATTTGTAGGTCTAATGAATTGGATCGTATTTACGATTTCAATGGAATAAATTATGACCATGGAATATTAGTGTTTAAGTTTTTTTTTATATATATATATATATATATATATATATATATATATATATATATATATATATATATATTTCACACATGTATTGAGCACTTTTAAATACCACTGTTTCCCCTGTCTGATTCAACTGTAACCATTAAACCTTTATGTAATATATATATATATATATATATGTGTGTGTGTGTGTGTGTGTGTGCGTGTGTGTGTGTGAGTGTGTGTGTATATTCAACGGCGAAATCATTAGTACACCCATCAATTTTGAATATTTTTATACATTTCTTAGAATTTAATGCTCGTATGATGCCAGTTTTTTTTAATATGTTATTAAGCACCAAAAATGTATATAAAACTCAATCGAGTTGCCTGGTCACCTACTCAATTCCGGAAAATCCTTGTTGAAAACTCAGCTATACTTAAACATGAAAACAATAAAAAATTTAAAATTTAGACATAGAGTACTCTTTGCGACTGTTTATGTATGTGTCTCCCTTTCGATCTTTTCTTCTGAATTTAGGTTTTTTTTCTCTTTTTCGTAGTTGGTCTGTACATTTTATTAAATTTGTCTTTGGTCAGCTAGCCACTTTCTTGGCTTTACCAATATTTTGATTTTGTGATTAATTATTGTAATTAATTCATATATATATATATATATATATATATATATATATATATATAATATTAGTGGTAAATATACACATACATATGCAAAATATATAAATATATATACATAGGTGCATACACATACATGTATATTTTTTTAATAAAAATATAGGTCCTTGCTAGATTAGATAATCGTTATATTTATTTTTTATGTTTATATTTGATTTGTAACCTCTAGTCGATATTAATTTTGTCAAATTTTCTTACTTACACAGCGGTCCTTTCAGTAAATGTCCTTCAATTTTAGTTTCCCCCGCCCATCTCTTTCTCCCATCTCTTCCTTTCCTCTTCCTCCCTCTTATTCTGATCTTTAACATTAGATCGTCTATGGTGTGTGTATGTCACCACGAAATGTATATTTAATGTATTAGACATCCGACAACATTCATATTTCCCCCTTCCACTCACCTCTATTAAAAAAACCCTCTCTGTTAAGTTTTAATCTCTCACCTTCTCTCGTCTGTTACCCCTCTCTGTAACACTAACATTCGTCCCACACTCTCATACTTACACTCTCTCTAAATTCTATTTTTATTTCCGGAGTTGTTTTTTTTTCTGTTTTCTTTTTGAAATTGTAGGTCTGATGAATTGGATTTACGATTCCAATGGAATAAATTATGACCATGGAATATTAGTGTTTAAGCTTTTTTTATGATATATATATATATATATATATATATATATATATATATATATATTATTGTATATGCGGCCAGGCATTTAAAACAACATGCCTGGCCGCATACACAATTCGGAAAATCATTGTTGAAAACACATCTATACTTAAACATGAAAACAATAAACAAAAACTAAAAATTCTTGAAGCTATATACATGAAACAGTTGACACCTAACCTGAACAAAATAAACTATGAAATCGCTACAAATATTCTTAAATGCCTATAACTTATAACAGAAGCCATTGGTTTACACCAATGGCTTCCCATACTTAATACTTCTTGTTTTCACTCTCGCGTAGTCATGTGTGACGTCACGAGCTGCGACGCGATTTTCGCTTCCGCGTCTCGTATACACGGATTTGTCGTTGCTTTGAAAACTTTCATGCAGCAAGGGTGGACTATCATTGTTGTTTTGTCCGTGTGTTGTTTGATATATTGAAATGTAATAGTCATCTCTGATAATGGCTTAAGTAAGCCAAAAAATTAGATTGGATTTAAACATTAAAATATGGTGTTTTCCTTTCCTCTTTCAATGATAATGTGATTAAGCATATCAGACAATGTGATAGGAACTTAAATGAATAGACAAAATTGGTCTATATTATTTAATGAAACATGCATTAATATATATATATATATATATATATATATATATATATACTCGTTTTATGACAAGCAATTCATTTCTTATAACCAATAAGACGACCCGCACATATAAATTTATTATAAGGCTTCAAGAACACCAGAAATGGAAGTGGAAAAATCAGGCATGGCTGACCATATATGGAGAGAAAAGGGAGATCACCGCCTTCTGTGGGATCAGGTTGAGATCATAGACAAAGAACATCATTGGAAAGTTCGTAAACTTCAAGAATCAGCACATATGATAGGCCACAAAAATCTCCTGAGCCGACCAAGCATAGAAATGAATACAATATGGGAACCAGTAATAAGGGGTGCCAGAGAAAAGCGATAATAACAACAAAAATTGCAATATGAACTCTGGTAAAAACATGAAATGATAACAGCAAAAAATTGTAATATGAGCACTGGCAAAAATAGTTACTGAGACATTAGGTTTATAATACCCAGAAATACACAGATGTCCTCAAGGACACATAACACAGTAGATAAAGGCGTTGGTTAGATCCAGTGACAGGACCCAAAGAGTGTGAGTTCAATACCCGGTTAAGGCAATGGAGACCTTGGAGAGGGGAATTAACAGGAGATAACTGATAACTGACATCCATTAAACATGGAACTAGAACAGTCTACCACAATGAGGGTTCAGTTTGACATTCCAACCACCTGAAGAAGGCCGGACCGTACAACGGCCGAAACGTTGTAATAAATATGACGACAAAGATGAGGACAATAGTCCGGATAATGTAAATAGTGTACATAATACCTCATCTCAGAAATATAGACAGACTCTCCACAGGTTTTGAATTCAGAGTTGTCCTTCTCCTAGATAAATATTTAGCCATAGCTGGGGAGAGGAAAAAGAAATAGATTCATATCTTTCGCAAGTTTATTAGCCCGTAAATAAATGTAATGAACTCGACTGAAATTTGAACTCGGCTCTCCGATTCCTCAATCCGAGCGTTAATACATTACTCTAACCATGCCTCTCTCTGTATAACCATTTAATACAACTATGGCTTAAATAGTAAAACTCTATATCACTAACTACGAACAACAGGTAAAGAAATTATCCTGGTTTGTTCATATGCTTCAACTTCAAAACGCAATGACTGCTACTCGACAAAATATTTCGATCTGTGACGAGTGTGGGCTGGGAGATGTGACTCATGACTTTTCCTAATTAATCTTGCAGGGGAAAGGTAATTCTGATTCCGAAAAAGAGCAGTCATTTCGCTAGCTAGCGGCAGTCGGCTCCGTTACTCTTGCAAGGAATGAATCCTATTTGACGCTCATTTTTCTAGTATCAGATTTGCTGCTATGTCCGTAGAGGTTAGCTTCAATGATATAATGTATATATAAGTTGACGGGCTAGCTAACACTTTTGGGCCCGCTAGGATAAATATTTTCGTATGACTTTATGAATGAAAATTATTTTCTATTGCCTGCTGTCTCACCTTTTATTTACGATTTGCCGACAATACGTTTTGTGTGTTCAGTGATGGGTTGGAGGTAGAAGCTATTTATAGTATACTGAAGAGATTGCACCATTCTCTGCAGTTTACTCTTGAACAGGAGTACGATTGTTCCATTTCTTTTTTTTTTTTTTTTTTTTTTTGGATGTTTCCGTCCAAAGTCTTAATTCTATGTTTATTACATCGGTTTACCTTCAGCCCATGTTTTCAGCTTGATATATACGATGGGACTCCTTCTCTCCCAGAAGGTATAAGATCAATTTGGTCAAAACCTTAGTCCATCTGGTCTTAAGCATCTGCTGAGCCTAATAAGTTAAAACAAATAAAAGATAATATCATATGAGGCGAAGCATTGAATGTGTAATAATCTACAAGTGGCCTAAAAGCGAATTATTTCCTTCGTATAAAATTATTACTGAAACAATGTTGAATAACTAAACCCTGGAGAAGTTTTTCAATTTTTTTTCATTTAATTTACTGAACAGGGTAAACATTGACCAAATATTTCTTTGGTGGGGTGGAGTGCATAGAAAGAAAGAAAGAAAGAAAGAAAGAAAGAAAGAAAGAAAGAAAGAAAGAAAGAAAAAGGTATATCTTGGAAGAAATAGGTATATTATGAAAGAAAGAAAAAGGCATATTAAGAAAGAAAGAAAGAAAGAAAGAAAGAAAAAGGTATATTTTGCAAGAAATAGGCATATTAAGAAAGAAAGAAAGAAAGAAAGAAAGAAAGAAAGAAAGAAAGAAAAAGGTATATCTTGGAAGAAATAGGTATATTATGAAAGAAAGAAAAAGGCATATTAAGAAAGAAAGAAAGAAACAAAGAAAAAAGAAAGAAAAAGGTATATCTTGGAAGAAAAAGTTATATTAAAAAAGGCATATTAAGAAAAGAAAGAAAGAAAAAGGAAAAGGTATATCTTGGAAGAAATAGTTATATTATGAAAGAAAGAAAAGGCATATTAAGAAAGAAAGAAAGAAAGAAAGTAAGAAAAAGGTATATCTTGGAAGAAATAGGTATATTATGAAAGAAAGAAAAAGGCATATAAAGAAAGAAAGAAAGAAAGAAAGAAAGAAAAAGGTATATCTTGCAAGAAATAGGCATATTAAGAAAGAAAGAAAGAAAGGTAGAAAGAAAGAAAAAAGAAAGAAAGAAAGGGCATATTAAGAAAGAAAGAAAGAAAGAAAGGGCATATTAAGAAAGAAAGAAAGAAAGAAAGAAAGAAAGAAAGAAAGAAAGAAAGAAAGAAAGAAAGAAAAAGGTATATCTTGGAAGAAATAGGTATATTATGAAAGAAAGAAAAGGGCATATTAAGAAAGAAAGAAAGAAAGAAAGAAAGACAGGAAGAAAGACAGAAAAAGTTAAGAAAAAGAAAAAACTTAAGAAAAAAGAAAAGTTTAAGAAAGAAAGACAGAAAGAAAAAGTTAAGAAAGAAAGAAAGAAAAAGTTAAAAATGAAAGAAAAAATAAGAAAGAATAAAGGAAAGAAAGAAAAACTTAAAGAAAGAATATAATATGAGATGAAGCATCGAATTATTTCTTTCTTAATAAATTATTACTTAAAAAATGTTGAATGCCTAAACCTTGTAGAAGTTTTCCAAATTGCTTTTTCATCATCAGGCTAAAAATTTAATATAATTTACTGAGCAGATGAAGCATTGGCCGGATTGTGTTTTTGTTGTTTTTGGGGTTTTTTTTTTTTTTGTTTTTGTTTTGTTTTTTTTTAGGTGTTTTTTTTTTTTTTTACAATGAGGTCCGAGTATGGTTCTTGTGGATATCTGGGAAAGATTTTGTTCGATTTAGTGGAGTTCATGTGTGGATAACAGTGGCAGTGTGTTTGATAGAAGACGAGGAGTTAGCAGACGACAAGCGGGGGTCTGGAAAGAACTGATAAGGTTTATTCATAAAGTTTCTGACGATGAGAAATCATACTGATTTAAAGTTTACTTTCAAGTCGAAACATCTTTGATGATGCTAAAAACAAATGAAGTTTTTTTTTTTCCTGATATTGATAATGGCTTAAAGTATGGTAGAAATCAGGATTATTTGGGATTGTAATCTGAAGAAAGAAAGAAAGAAAGAAAGAAAGAAAGAAAGAAAGGTTAAGAAAGAAAGAAAAAGTTAAGAAAGAAACGTTTAAGAAAAAAACAGAAAGAAGTCAAAAAAGAAAGAAAATGTTAAAAAAGAAAGAAAGAAAGAAAAACATAAGAAAGTAAGAAGGAAGGAAAAGAGAAAAATGAAAAAAGCGTCAAGAAATAAATGAAGGAAGAAAGAAAGAATTAAAGAAGAAAGAAAGAAAATATTACGAAAAAAGAAAAAGTTAAGAAAAAAGACAGAAAGAAGTCAAGAAAGAAAGAAAATGTTAAGAAGGAAAGAAGGGAAGAAAATAGAAAAATGAAAGGAAACGTCAAGAAATAAAGAAAGAAAGAAAATATTACGAAAAAAAGAAAAAAATAAGAAAGAAAGAAAGAAAGAAAGAAAGAAAGAAAGAAAGAAACAGTTAAGACTTAAAGAAAAAAAAAAAAGAAAGAGTTAAAAAGAAAAGAAAGAAAGAAACAGTTAAGACTTAAAGAAAGAAAAAAGAAAGAAACAGTTAAAAAGGAAAGAAAGAAAGAAAGAAAGAAAGAAAGAAAGAAAAAGAAAGAAAGAAAGAAACAGTTAAGACTTAAAGAAAGAAACAGTTAAAAAAGAAAGAAAGAAAGAAAGAACAGTTAAGACTTAAAGAAAGAAAAAAGAAAAAAACAGTTAAAAAAGAAAGAAAGAAAGAAAGAAAAAGAAAGAAAGAAAGAAAGAAAAGAAAGAAATAAGATAAAAAGAAAAAAAAGAAAAGAAACACTTAAAAGAAAGAAAGAAAGAAAAAACAGTTAAAAAGAAAGAAAAAAGAAAGAAACAGTTAAAAAAGACTTAAAGAAAAAAGAAAAGAAAAGAAAGAAAGAAAGAAAGAAAGAAAGAAAGAAACAGTTAAGACTTAAAGAAAGAAAAAAGAAAGAAACAGTTAAAAAAGAAAGAAAGAAAGAAAGAAAAAGAAAGAAAGAAAGAAACAGTTAAGACTTAAAGAAAGAAAAAAGAAAGAAACAGTTAAAAAAGAAAGAAAGAAACAGTTAAGACTTAAAGAAAGAAAAAAGAAAGAAACAGTTAAAAAAGAAAGAAAGAAAGAAAGAAAAGTATTTCTGCAATGAACAAAACACACTAAAGAGAAAATATTATTTTACAGATATATTTGGAAAATAAACTTTTCCCTTTGGTTCTTTCTATGCGAAGATCGCAACGTATTGTCTGTCTGTGTGTCTTTCTTCCTCTCACGTTACCACAGAGACTTCTTCTAAACACAAAATGGTGAATTGCTTTTGTTTTTTTGGTTAGTTTGTCGCTATAAAATTAGAAAATAAAAAAGGTGAAACTATCCAGAGCAAACCCGTTAAAGAAAAAAAAAAATACACTTCTTATTTAACTCACCTGTCAAATTTTGATCATCTCCAAACTATGTAGATATAGGTAAAGAATAAATTAAAATGGCCCTACCACTGGGTCGGCCATGTTATTAAAACACATAAAAAACCTTCCTTCACCCATAATGGAGTGTCACCTACCGAAATTGTTCGCCCTGTGTCAAAGATAGTAAGTGTGTATAAAAGAGGACACTGGGTATGCCCCTAAAGAGGCGTACCTGTTGCCAAGCTGATCGGTAAAAACCTTCCTTTGACCTAAGGCAAAACAAATTGCTTTGTTTGTAGGATATTCAATGAATAGCAAAGATTTCTGGGAAAGACGACATTTTTTTCTAGAGAGAAAAAATATGCTAGTAAGAGAATTAAAGGACACAGTAACTGGTTAGTTTATTTAATGTTGATTTTTGGGTTTATACTTGTGTCCATATGTTTCTTTTAAATACTTGAGCCTATAGGTAGATATAGATTGTTCTTAAGCTTGAGCCCATGATTAGCTATAGATCTTTTTATACTTGAACCCATCATAAGCCGTATTTATACTTGATTACTTAAGTAGACATAGGTTGGATATATACATGAGTATGTAGGTAGATACAAACAGATTTATAGTTGAATCATTAGGTAGATATACATAGAGTTTATACTTGAGTCACTAGTTTTTCTTATACTTGAACGCATACGTAGACTTAGACCGTATTTATACTTTAGGCCTTAGGTCGAGAATGTAATTGAGGTAGGTTGTGTTTATACTTGAGCATATAGACAGATATCGGTCGTGTTTATACTTGAGGCCTTAGATTGAGTATATACTTGAGTATATAGGCAGATACAGACTGCACCAATCACAGGTAGTCTTCACTCTCCTATATGGATGTGAAACGTGGACACTGTTGGCAGATACAGAGAGAAGGATCCAAGCGTTTGAGAACAAATGCATAAGAAAACGCTTTGGCATTTTCTACTGGGAACATAAAACCAATGAATTTGTGCGAAAAATGGTTGAAAGTTTTGTGGGGCACAAGAAACCTCTTTTCGTCACTGTCAAACGGAGAAAAATGGCGTGCTTTGGACACATTAAAAGCACGACAGCCTGTGCAAGACCATCATGCAAGGCATCGTTGAAGGTGGACATAGGAGAGGGCGCCAACGTAAAAACTGGTTGGACAATGTCAAACAATGGACAGTTATGGCTGTACCAGAATTGCTGATGGCTGCCTTTGATAAGACCGTTGTGGAAAAGAGTTAGTGTGGCTTCTGCATTCGGATCTGCCCTACGGTTTCAAAAGTTAAGGGGATAATGATGATATAGGCAGATATCGGTCGTATTTATACTTGAGGCTTTAGATTGTATATACTTGAGTATAATATAAGCAGATATCGGCCGTGTTTTTACTTGAGGCCTTAGGTTGAGTATATACTTGTGTATATAGGCAGATATCGTTCGTATTTATACTTGAGGCATTAGGTTGAGTATATACTTGTGTATATAGGCAGATATCATTCGTATTTATACCTGAGTACATAGGCAGATAGGGCTAGCGTTTATGTCTGCCATTATGTAGGCAATGGTCGTTTTTTTTACTTGCGACATAGGTATAGGTCATGTTTATATTTAAGTCCATAGGTAGATATAGGTAGTGTTTATGCTTGTCATTAGGTAAACATAGGTAGTCTTTATACTTGAGACCATCGATTGACATGGGTAGTTTTTAATACTTGAGGCCATAGGTAGATGTCATTTTATGCTTGATTTATTCGGTATCATAGTAATGTTTATACTAGAGTATATAGATAGATATTTATATATATATGTATAAATTGGTTTACATTTAAGTAGGACTACTTTCTGGATGCTTGTAGATTTTAGTCAAAATGGACGAACAGTGGTAATTTTTGTGATTGTCCATTGTTGTTTGGCGTATGCAATCTACTGGCGGCAGTTTAATATTGATTCTCTGAAAAATTGATATCTACGCAAGACTATGACTATTCCTCTTCTTTCGAAATATTGATACCCGTTTACTGTTGAATAATCAGCCTTTATTAACAATTTGGAGACTGGAGCCCACGCATAACAAAAAATGAAGAAAGAAAGAAAGCGTAGAAAGAAAGGAAAGGAAGACGAAAAGGAGAAAAGAAGACATACAAATTGTGGAAAGAAAGAAAGACATGCACGTTTGTAGATATATAAAAATTCTCACATGAAATTTTGAACTTTAGCGTTGCGACTTGCACGTTTTGAGATTCTACAACCGTCAATAAAGAGCACATTCTTAAAAAAAAACATCTTTCGGTCTACAAACAATTATTTCGTCTTCAAGTTTTAACTTTAAAGGAAAAAAATTACAGCCTGATGATGAAGACAGGGATTTTCGAAAGTACTCGCTTAACTTAAAAAATATACACAAGAAACATCTGACAACAGTTTTATAAATGAGGATCACATCATTCAATGGATTAACAGTATTTTAATGCATAGATTATGTTTCTACTAGCGAAGTGATTTCGCCATTAATCGCATTAATATTGCTGATTGATTCTATGTATGATTATTTCTTTATATATATATATATATATATATATATATATATATATATATATTAATTGATTTAAAATATGTTTTTTCGCTACACAGTTCTAACCATGTTTCAAAAATGGAAGCTAAAAGCCCCGAATTTAATTTTGTAATTAAATTAAAGACATTAGTTCCATTTCATCCTCAAGCGAATTTTGTATATACAAAATTTTTGTGGTACGATCCACCTAATTTACATAGTGGAGTACCGACCATATAAATATGGGTTGGTACCGGGAAGACGAGGGAAGAAGTAAGAAGAGATCCAATCGAGAGACTCTGCCCGACTGCGATTAAGACAACCCATTCTACAGGAACAGTCTTCCCAAGAATATACCAAAACTAACAGTAAATATTGTGTACCTTTTCCTTGTTTCAATACATTTTGTTTACGTACATTTTGTGTTGTATTATTATTATTCCATGCTTATCCAAGCTTCAACAAAAATACACACACACACACACACACACACATATATATATATATATATATATATATATATATATATATATATATATATATATATATATTTGAACTTTATTTCAATACTTCATGATCTTCCGTACCTTAGCTATGATTAATTAATGATGAACATGTCAATTTCTTTTATGATCGATTTCATCACGATACTTGTTAAATTTAAAGAGTAATTGAACATTCTTATTGCACAAAGAAGATTCCAATAGTGAATAAGTTTAAAAAAGAAAGAACAGTAATGAGGAAAACTGGATAAGGAGATCACAACAGAAAGAGCGATCATCATTTTAACTTAGCTAAAGATGTCGATTAGAAAAGATCCAACTCAATTCATAATGTGTTTGGCACGTGAGCGAGGAGTTTCAGCGATGACAGTCGATGAGCAGTGAAAAAAGACTTGAAAATGAAATCGTACGTGAAACCCGTGAAGCATCTTGTTACTACAGGAGAGAATGTTAGAAGATTAGAGAGGGCGAAGGTAATCTTGAATAAGTTGGAAAATGATCCTGGAGTAATATATATATATATATATATATATATATATATATATATTTGAACTTTATTTCAATACTTCGTGATCTTCTGTGGCTTGATTAATTAATGATGAACATTATCGTTTATGATCGGGTTCATCACGATATTTCTGTTAAGCTTCAAAGTAATTATACATTCTTATTGCTCAAAGAAGATTTTATTCGTTTTTAACCTTATAAATGGAATTGATTTTATAACTTTGATTAAGATGACTTTATATTGCGCCAGTTTCGTTCTCCTGTTTAGTCCCTTAAAGTACATTTCGTTTTTCCTGTTAAAAAAAATTCTTTCACCAAGTTTTTTTTCTCTGATTTCTTTGTCCGAAAGGCTCCTAAGATATTTCGCCTCTTTTTTAGTATTGAAAGGTTTACAGCAGTTCTATTTAAGGCGATAATTAAATATATGTATATGCGTAGGTACCTCCACAGATTCGCTAAAAAATGAGCATACATAATGAAAAAAATGTCCCAAACAAAGTTTTATCGTCAATATTATGTCATTATCACATGGGAGAGGAGTTTCAGATATGACAGTCCAAAAAGAAATGAGAAATGACTTGAAAATGAAATCGTACGTGAAAACTGTGTTACTCTAGGACAGAAATTTAGAAGGTTAGAAAGGGCGAAGATCATCTTGAATAATTTGGGGAATGATCCTGGAATATGAATATATATATATATATATATATATATATATATATATATATATATATAACAAAGAATAATAAATTATATTTTTTTATCCTTTTTAGAACGTTCGAGATTTTAGTTAAAAATGTTGTTCTTTTCGCGTCATCAGGGGTGACCAAAGATTAGGATAGGAAATTTCATCGCCTTTTTTGAGGTTAAAAACACACTGATTTCGAAAATAAATGTCGGATTTTAATGAAACTTTAAGAACATATTCATAAATTAATTAAATTATTTTAGAAATCTTACGTTTTTAGAAAATCTTGCTAAAAATATTTTTCTATATCTGTTATCCCAACTCCACCACATTCCACTTATTTAATTTTGTGAAATTTGGAGAAATCCATTCTTGTATTGTTTAATGTTTAGTTATAATCACAAGTCCTTGGATAATTTAAATCTTCATTTTCTTTTTTTGTTAAACAAGACTCCACATTAACCAAAAATCTGTTCTGAAACATAAAATAAAAAAATGAAATAAAACTGAGACATTATTTAATTAGAAAAATTATTTTATGAATAAAATATATTATGGATCTATTGAAAAACCTTTTCGATGAATAATTAATTTTTACAATAATTGTTTAATTTTTTTATTTTAATTAGAATAATTTATAAAGATTTTAATCTTTTACATTTATGTATTAATTTGTACCGGTTAGGTGATATTGTTATTAAATAAAAACTGTATTTACTAATCATAAATTGAAAGGCTTACTGTAATTCATCGACCCCCAATATTTTAATTAATAAATTTTAATTTTTGGTGTTGGTGTTGGTGGGTGTGTGTGTGTGTGTGTGTGTGTGTGTGTGTATTATATTTGGCCTTTTCGTCGATGGCGACGGTCGTCAGCGGAAAAACAGCGCCGCTCATGGCTAAAACAACCAATGCACGATCGGCATGGTTTTTGATAACGACCGCAGTAGTAGAATACTGGGGTGTCTTCTACCGTGGGATATTTACGTCTTTGCTTAGCCTCTACGGCGAGCTGGATTCTTCATAGCTCTTTGCTCCCGCGATAACAGCAGCTCTCCAGCCCACTCGTAGGCAAACGCATCCCAGTTTGCAACAATGATAGAACGTGAATGTTTTTCACTGGTCCTTACGCGTGCCATCAGACATGTTAGTCTTAATGGAAAGGCATATATTAATAATAATTCCTCCCTTCTGTGGTATTTTCCCGACACTGTTTCTTTTCAGTCGGTTTATAGACAAGAAATGGTTCTGTATTCATAATATAATATGTATTCATAATATAATAATATAGAAAATAGTGCTGAGCGGTTATGTAATATCAATCCTCCTATATGTCAGTGAATGCTGGACAATTTCCTCACAGATGAAGAGGAGACTTAAAGCAAGAGAAACAAAGAAAAGAGTGCTGAACAGCTATGTAATATCTATCCTCCTATATGGCAGTGAATGCTGGACAATTTCCTCACAGATGAAGAGGAGACTTGAAGCAAGAGAAACAAAAAAAAGAGTGCTGGACTGCTATGTAATATCAATCCTCCTACATGGCAGTGAATGCTGGACAATTTCCTCACAGATGAAGAAGAGACTTGAAGAAAGAGAAACAAAGAAAAGAGTGCTGAACTGCTATGTAATATCAATCCTCCTACATGGCAGTGAATGCTGGACAATTCCTCACAGATGAAAGGAGACTTGAAGCAAGAGAAACAAAGAAAAGAGTGCTGAACTCACTATGTAATATCCTCCTCCTATATGGCAGTGAATGCTGGACAATTTCCTCACAGATGAAAGGAGACTTGAAGCAAGAGAAACAAAGAAAAGGGTGCTGAACTGCTATGTAATATCAATCCTCCTATATGGCAGTGAATGCTGGACAATTTCCTCACAGATGAAGAGGAGATTTGAAGCAAGAGAAACAAAGAAAAGAGTGCTGAACTTCTATGTAATATCAATCCTCCTATATGGCAGTGAATGCTGGACAATTTCCTCACAGATGAAAGGAGACTTGAAGCAAGAAGAGAAACAAAAAAAGAGTGCTGAACTGCTATGTAATATCAATCCTCCTATATGGCAGTGAATGCTGGACAATTTCCTCACAGATGAAGAGGAGACTTGAAGCAAGAGAAACAAAGAAAAGGGTGCTGAACTGCTATGTAATATCAATCCTCCTATATGGCAGTGAATGCTGGACAATTTCCTCACAGATGAAGAGGAGACTTGAAGCAAGAGAAACAAAGAAAAGAGTGCTGAACTGCTATGTAATATCAATCCTCCTAAATGCTGGATAATTTCCTCACAGATGAAGAAGAGATTTTAAGCAAGAGAAACAAAGAAAAGAGTG